TAAATGGAGAAAATCTTGAAGTTGTCAAGAATTTTGTTTTACTTGGATCCACGTTGGATCAACGCCTGTGGAAGTAGCAGTCAAGAAATCAAATTACATATTTTATTGGGCAAATCTGCTGCAAAAGATCCCTCTAAAGTGTTAAAATAAATAAATAAAAAGATGTCGCTTTGAAGACTAAGGTGTGCCTGACCCAAGCCCTGATATTTTCAATTGCCTCATATGCATGTGAAAGCTGGACAATGAATAAGAAAGATCAAAGAAGTACTGATACCTTTAAATTATGGTGTTGTTGAAGAATATTGAATATACCATGGACTGCAGAAGAATAAACAAATCTGTCTTAGAAGAAGTACAGCCAGAACCCTCCTTAGAAGCAAGGATGGCAAGGCTTCGTCTCATGTACTTTGGACATGTTATCAGGAGGCACCAGTCCCTGAAGGACATCATGCTTGGTAAAGTAAAGGGTCAGTGAAAGAGAGGAAGACCCTCAATGAAATGGATTGACACAGCGGCTGCAACAAGGGGCTCAAACACAGCAAGGATTGTGAGGATGACGCAGGACCGGGCAGTGTTTCGTTCTGTTGTACAGAGGGTCGCCTGCACTGGGTCTGACTTGACAGCACCTAACGACAGCGACAGCCTCCAGAACTGTGAGTGAATGAATTCTGTGGTTTGAAGCCACTCCGTCTGTGATAATTTGTACGGCAACCCTAGGCAAACTCATTCAATGACTATTTCATGAGCCAATGAATGAGGGAACGGCTCAGCAGGAAGCCGTAACTAGACAGGCGTGCTGTTTCCATCGTGTGGTTTTACTGTCTGTCGAGCCCCAGCCGCCCGTCAAGCAGTAAGCTGGGGCACCTGCAGAAGGGGGAACAGAGAAGATCCTCCAGGGCACACTGAAAACGCTTCACACCGGCCACTCAGCTCCAGGTGACCAAGGAAACTACACCTCAAGGCCAAGGCTGCTCAAGGTGGACTGAGTAGAGGGGCCTGGACTGACCAGGCCTAGTGGACAGGCCACCTCCATGGGGCGGATGGGCCAAGCCTGGCAAGGTGCTCACAGAACCTCCTGGTGCAGGTGACCAAGAAGCTCGAGGGTCCTGGCGTCACCCCATCCTTCAGAGAGGCCCAGCAGTTGCTCTATGACAAAGCCACAAGATTAACTCCACAGCCCACTGTCCCCAAGCCCGACGGGATTCACTGGGCTCTATCATCATTTCAGAAAGTAGACAAGGGCAGGGCCCGCTTTACACATAAGAACAGCGTCACAACACGCCTGACGCAGGAACCCCAGCGACTCAGACTCACTGGAAAAAGATGATCACTTCAGTAGGAAGTCTAAACTTGCAAAGGAGTCCTGATGGCACAATGGTTAAGCACTTAGCTGCTAACTGAAATGGTGGTGGTTCGAACCCACCCAGCAGCTCTGAGGGAGAAAGGCCTGGCGATCTTCTCTCATAAAGATTACAGTCTAGAAAACCCTATGGGGCACTTCCACTCTATTCTGTAGGGTTGCTATGAGTCGGAATCAACTGGATGGCACCTAACAACTAAAGCAACAACCAAATTTGTAAACTATTTTTGAGAATGGAGTTTCTGAACTTTCCAGGCCATCCCAGCCTAACGCCTTGTTTCTTATGAGAAGTGCTTAAGACATCTTGCTGGGAGAAAAGATCCATTGATTTGTACAGTAATTTTACATCAAGAGAAAGTTATAAGATGCCTAACAGCAATGCATCCTCAAGTAGTTAAAGATACCCCTTCAAGTTTTCTTTGCTATTTATTTGCACAGAGTTCCTGGATGCTGTAAGCGATAAATGAGCTAGGCTGCTAACCGAAAGGTTGGAGGTTTGAGTCCACCCAGAGGCACTTTGGAAGAAAGGCCTGGCGATCTACTTCCAAAAAGTCAGCCACTGACTGTGGGGACCATGGTCTCAGGGAACATCTAGTTCAATTGGCATGACACAGCTTATAAAGACAATGCTCTACATTCTACCTAGGTGAGTAGTGTCTGGGGTCTTAAAAGGCTGTGAGCGGCCATCTAAGATACTCCACTGGTCTCATCCCTTCGGGAGTAAGGGAGAATGAAGAGAACAGGATACAAGGAAAAGATTAGTCCGAAGGACTAATTGTCCACAGCTACCAAGGCCTCCACAAGACTGAGTCCAGTACAGCTAGATGGTGCCCAGCTACCACCACTGACTACTCTCACCAGGATCACAACAGAGGGTTCTGGACAGAGCTGGAGAAGGATGTAGAGCATAATTAAAACTCACAAAAAAAAGATCGGATTGACTGGCCTAAAGGAGACTGGAGAAACCTCGAGAGTATGGCCCACAGACACCCTTTTAGCTCACTGGTGAAGTTACCTCTGAGGTTCACTGTTCAGCCTGGGAGTGGACAGCCCCATAAAACCAAATGAGACTAATGAGGTACAGGAGTCCAGTGACAAGGGCCAGAAGGCAGAAGGGGACAAGGAAGCTGGTGATAGGGAACCCAAGGTTGAGTAAGGATATTGTTGATGTGTTGTGAGATTGTTAACCATTGTCATAGGGCAACATGTGTAGTAACTGTTAAATGAGAAACTATTTTGTTCTGTAAGCCTTCATCTTAAGTGAGAATAACAGCACAACTGGAAGAGCGTAGTCAGTGTCACTGAACAGTGCATGTAGAAATTTTTGAAATGGTGTATCTTTGGCTATGTGTATTTTCACCAAAAGAAAGGTTGGAGAAGTTAGAGGGTTGATATGTTGTGGGGTTGTTAACTTATGTCATAAAACAACATGTGTACTACTGTTTCATGAGAAACTATTTGTTCTGTAAGCCTTCACCTGAAATACAGTAAAAAATTAAAAAAAAAAAAAAAAAATAAAGTACAACAACCAAAAAGAAAAGTCAGCCACTGAAAACCCTATGAAACATAGTTCTACTCTGACACACAGGGGGTCACCATGAGTCAGAATCGACTTGGCAGCCACTGGTTGGTTACTTATTTGCAGAGACTGGTAAATCCTTTAAGTCAAGAAAATCTTTAGCCCAAAATATGTCTGAATTAACCTAAATAAGTGGAATATGAATGAATGTGCTATTACTCTGACCCCAGATACCAGCATTTGATTCCTTCAGTGATACATCTCTTGGTTTAAAAAGTAATATTTTACCATAAATACAGACACACAATTGTTGAGACGGAAAAAAAGAGAAATTACTCACAACCGCACACGCCTAATAACCACGAATGATATTTTTCCGATGTTCTCCCAGTTTTTCCCCTATGAATCTTAAAAACAAACAAACCAAAACCCATAGTTTTAAAAGAAAATTATTGTATCCTGTCTTCTAAAAAAAAAAAAATTAATATAGTATCAAAGGCAGTTTTCCACATTGCTATTTATGCTTCAAAAACGTATTTAACGGCCACATAACATTCCAATGTTATCCCAATTTGCTGAGTCATTTCCCTACTACTGGATTTTTCCTTGGTTTTAATTTTTTCTCTGTTACGGATAAGGCTGCTCTAAACATTTACGTTTAACTTTTTGTGTGATTATACGTTGTAGCTTTCAATAATCAGAGGCTGGCGCCTTCTATTCAGAGAGAAAATTCCTAAGGGGACATCTGACGGGGCCTCGAGAATTTAATCAAGATAGTGGGGTCTGGAGTCTTTCTAAAGGCAAAGGAATATCAGAGTTTTCAAGACGACGGGGCTGCCCTCTCCACCCATCCTCATTGGGGCTTTTCCATTTCTTACAGCCTCGTCTCCTTTCCCGCAGGGAGACAGGAAGGAGAGCAAACACCTACTACTCTGGTTTTTGTTTGTTTTCCTTTGGGCAATTCTGGGAAGGTTCCGGTTTGATGAGACTGTTCCTGCGTGTTATTCTTGCCCAGGCTCGTAAAGAACGCGAGATTGCCACATGGTGCTTGTTCAGAACTTTTAGTCCCTTTCAGAAACAGTGTATGTAGCCACTGGATACAGAGAAATATATATGAAAAATATAGAGATAGATTCCGAGAGGGGGTCTCACAAGGAAGTCTGGCAAGCTCACTAGACAACAACAAACAGTTTTAATTGAGCAGTTTGATCCCAGTTGTCGGGGATTCCCTCCCAGGCATCTTCTTTACCAGCGGTTTCACCTTTAGGCTTCTCAGGAGATTCTCCTGAGGCCTGCACACCCTTAAATAAGAATGTCCTCCGGAAGCCTGACCTAATGCCACTGGGGATCCAAACAAGGCCCTTCTGACCCACGAGTACACCACCCCTCTGCCCCTTGCTTTGCCCCTTTGACAGTGCACACACGGGCACATTCGAACACACAGGCACACGCACACCACATATACTATGGACACACACAGCACACACTCCACACACACCACACATAGTACACACACACAGCACACACTCCACACACACACCACACACACGCCACACACACACCACACACACCACACATAGTACACACACACAGCACACACGCCACACACACACGCACCATGCACTACACACACCACACGGCACACACACAGAACACACACACCACACAGCATAGGCACACACACCATACACCACACACACACACCACACACACACACACTCTTTCTCCCTCTACAAAGTACTCAGAAGTTTAAACAATGACTCACGAGTCCCAGGCCGGTCACAGCCAGCCCGCCATCACCGGATCCTACAGGGCTGCCACCTGTCCTGTCCTCCCTCCTCCTGTCGTGGGAAAGGCTGGCTTCCCCAGGAGGTGCAGTGGACGGGACTCTGCTCCACCCGCAAACAGAGCCCAGGGCAGGGAAGTCAGAGCGGCCTTGGCCTCAGGCAGGTGGGTGAGCAGCCGCCCGCCCAGGACAGGCCTCTGCCCTCCCCATCCGGCCCGGGGGCAAGGTCCAGCTGAGGTCACGCGGTCACATAGGACTGGGCAGGGCCCAGCAGGAGGCCGGGCCGTAAAGCAGCCAAGAAAGTCACCTGGAGCCACCAGAAGTCATGGGCTCACCTGTGCAGCGCCTTTTGCCGCTCTGTCCCCACCTCCGAGTGTCTCAGCTCTGGCACAGGGCCTCCCCTCCCCCCCCGGAGCTGTGGTGAACCTCTGTTGTATCTGAAACAAACAGCCCAGAGGACAAAACAGCATTTCAGTCAGATAAATTAATTCCTTCCGCAAACAGTGGCCGGCCAACTCCTGCAACCCACACCAGATCTGGAGGTCACCCTCGTCCAGGCCCAGACAGGGGATCAGACAGGGGGTCCCTGCTGGTGCCACCTGGGGAAGGGTGCATTTTTCTAATGTCCTCTCCACGCTTTGTCACCCCCAGCCCTTCCTTGAAGTCTCAGCCACTGGGTGCCACTGTGGGGGGAGGTGGCAGGAGAGGGGAAGGGGTCATCCTCCTTGTCCTCGAATTCTTCACGGGACCCTAGGCCTGGAATTCCCCATCTGGTGGTGATGGAACAGCGTCTTCGAGATGAGACTTCAGAGTCTCCGAGCACGACCTGGTGGTGGTGTGGCCAGAGACAGAGGTGGAAACATGTCAGCTGTGAACCCAGACGGCAAAATCCGTTTTCCTTACGTTCTCTTAGCCAGTTAAAAATGGTTGCCGTCAAGTCTGACTCATGGCAACCTCGCGTGCGTCCGCTTGTGCTCCACAGCGTTTTCACTGACTGATTTTTGACAGGTAGATTGCCAGGCCTTTCTTCCAAGGCACCTATGGGTGGACTGCAACCTCCAACCTTCCCGTTAGCAGCCGAGCATGTTAACCATTTGCACCACCCAGGGACTCTGTATCAACATTTGTTGTTGTTCTGCGTTGCCGTCAAATCTATTCTGACTCATAGCGAGCCCGTGTGGGTCAGAGTAGAACTGCTCTATAGGGTTTTATTGGTGGTAATCTTAAAGGAAGCAGATCGCCAGGCCTTTCTTCCATGGAGCCACTGGGTGGGTTCAAACCATCATCCTTTAGGTTAGCAGTCCAGCGCAAACCATTTGCACCACCCATAGTCCATTAGTAGGTTCGGAGGGAAGGAGGTGCGGAGCTGGGCCAGGGGCCACCCTGCCACAGCGTCACATTGACACCTTTTAGTCAGCTCACCTATACAGCGTGTACGCTCATGTGCACATATTCAGCTTCCAACAGAACTGCAGGGCTGGAGTCTACTCGGATCCACAATCAACGCCCGTGGGAGCCACAGTCAAGGAATCAAACGGCATATTGCATTGGACAAATCTGCTGCCAAAGATCTCTTTCAAGTGTTAAAAAGCAAAGATGTCACTTTGAAGTCTAAGGTGCACCTAACCCAAGCCATGGGGTTTTCAATGGCCTCATATGCATGTGAAAGCTGGACAATGAATAAGGAAGACTGAAGAAGAATTAATGAATTTGAATTGTGGTGTTGGCGAAGAATATTGAATATACCATGGTCTGCCAGGAGAATGAACAAGTCTGTCTTGGAAGAAGTACAGCCAGAATGCTCCTTAGAAGTGAGGACGGCGAGACTTCATTTCACATACTTTGAATGTTATCAGGAGGGACCATTCCCTGGAGAAGGACATCATGCTTGGTAGAGCAGAGGGTCAGCAAAAAAGAGGAAGCCCCTCAAAGAGATGGACTGACACGGTGGCTCAACAATGGGCTCGCACACTTACTGTCGTGAGGATGCTGCAGGATCAGACAACTGCCGTCCATGGACTGCCCACGAGTAGAAACCGCCCTGACAGCACCAGAGACAACAAGCAGGGCTAGCCAGCCTCTGGGCATTACGGGATTGAGCTTCCCCCGGGTCTGAACTATCTACAACACCCCTGCCCGCTGATTTTTCAGTCTCTGCTCAAATATCTACAGGGAAATGCTGGGGCTTATCTGCTCCCCAAGACGGCCATTCCATTGGCTTCCTTTCCATCTCAGCCGCCTTTCGTGACTTCCCTAGAGATCCTAGAAGCGGTTAGCAGGGCTTATGGCCGACACTGCCAACTGCCCACCCCGGATCCGTGCCCCTCAATTCCTTACAGAGGCCCCCAATGTTGTTCCCACAGTGAATGCCTCCACATCTTTCTAGCAATAGTGGCCAAGGAACCCCACTCCAGTGGAGTTACTAGGGTTGGTGTCACCCAGTGCTATAACTCACGTGTCATCCACCCCTGCCTGGGGTGGGCGGGGCCTGGCAAGGAACCCGCACTCCGGTGGGAGGAGTGGCCCCGCCCCACGTCACCCCTGCACAGGGCTGAGCGCCATATGGCTCCTCCCCTCTGCCCCCCCCAGGGTCCTCCCCTCTCCCATTGGCCAAAGTGGAAACCTTCCTCTGTACCCAACTGGCCACTGGATGACACCAACCCTAGTGACTGGCTGGTGCCAGGGGTGCAGTGATGAGTCACCTCACTGGGGGACAGGTGACACTGACCCTAGTGACGCCGCTGCCTTGGTGGCCCCTCCCCCGCGGCCCCCACCGGCCCACCACTACCAACCTTGGGGTCATTTTGGTGTCACCCCCTCTGACAGTGTCAAGGGGTGTAGTCCGCACCCCGTGTTCCCCCCTAGTTATGCCATCCCCTCGCTCTGCCCAGCAAATGGGGTGGAAGTTGGCTGGAGATTTTCGAGGCTTCCCTTCCTCCTTGGGGCCCCTGTCAGAGCTGTATCTCAAGATAAAACTCAGCCTGATAGTCATCTCCGTCTGTTCTTCCAGAGCCCCCCCATCTCCTAAGGCCTTTGAGAGAAAGAGGAAGGATCATGTCCGCCTACACGTCCTCACCCTTGCTTTACTTATCTCAGTGGAAAATTCCATGGGGGTTTCTGTACACCAAGCCAAATTCCTCGGCTCAACAATCCCTTTGGCACCTGGCTGCTTGCCAGGCTGGGCAGGGCAGAGGGGAGGCAAGGAAATAAATCAAAGTCCTGACCTGAGGGGCCAGGGCCAGGCAGGGGCGGGACAGGTGCCTGCAGCTGAGAGGTGGCGGCCCAGGTACAAAGGGACAAAGGACGAGGCAGGGGAGACCGGTTAATGCTGCCTCAGGAGGGGGGAGGGTCAAGAAGACTGTCCTGAGGAGGAAATGCCAAACATGTGGGAGCACGGGGAGAGGGCTGGAAGGGGTGGGGGGAACGAGGGGCGCACGGGTAAGTGAGCATGGGGCTTGCAGTGGGGGGTGAGAGGGTGGGGGGTGGGGAGGTGGCCAGGGGCCCTGAGCATGGAGGCCTTGTCCAATTCAGTAAGGACTTGGACTAGAAACGTAACAAAAATAAAAGTAGCCTTCCTAACCAAAAAGCTGGTGATTCAAACTGGCTCAGTGGCACCACAGAAGAAAGGCCTGGTGATCTGCTTCTGTAGAGACTACAGCCAAGAAAATCCAAAGGAGCACAGTTCTACTCGGTAGCGCATGGGGTCACCATGAGTTAGAATCAACTCGACAGCTCCTAACAACAACAACCACCTTTTATTGAGCACCTGTGGTGCAGAGGTTAAGCACTCAACTGCTAACCGAAAGGTCAGTGACTTGAACCCACCAGCCGCTCCTCGGGAGAAAGACATGGCAATCTGCTTCCGTAAAGATTGCAGCCTTGAAAACCCTATGAGGCAGTTCTGCTCTGTCCTATAGGGTGGCTTAATTGTACCTATGAGGAAACTGTACAAAGATCAAGAGGTGGTCGTTTGAACAGAACAAGGGGATACTGCGTGGTTTAAAGTCAGGAAAGGTGTGTGTCAGGGTTGTATCCTTTCACCAGACGTATTCAATCTGTATGCTGAGCAAATAGTCTGAGAAACTGGACTATATGAAGAAGAACGGGACATCAGGATTGGAGGAAGACTCATGAACAACCTTGCACAAGCTTGCTTGCTGAAAGTGAACAGGACTTGAAGCACTTACTGATGAAGATCAAAGACCACAGCCTTCAGTATGGATTGTACCATAACATGAAGAAAACAAAAATCCTCACAAATGGACCAATAAGTAACGTCATGATACAAAGGAGAAAATATTGAAGTTTTCAAGGATTTCTAAAATGATTGGATCCACAGTTGACACCCACGGAAGCAGCAGTCAAGAAATCAAATGACGTATTGCTTTGGGCAAATCTGCTGCAAAAGACCTCTTTAAAGTGTTAAAAAGCAAAGATGTCACTTTGATGACGAAGATATGCCTGACCCAAACCATGGTGTTTTCAATTGCCTTTCATGCATGGGAAAGCTGGACAATGAATAAGGAAGCATAGCAATACATAGCAGCATTGTGACCTCAGGAAGGCTGCTTCATCTCTAAACCTCAGTTTCCCCTCCGGCAAAGTGGAAATGACATCACTTTGCTTTTAAAATCGTTGTGAAGATAAAAGATGTCAAGGTAAAGATCCCGGCATATGTGAGTGACTGGGTGATGAGTAGAATCCCTCCCCCTGTGGCATCGACATTTGACGAGTAATTGTGTCAGAAGACCTTTGTTCTATACAAAGCCCCTTGTTGCTGGAGTCCTGGGTCAGGCACTCACTTTACTTGCCCCGCCTGAGATCTGATCACTCTCCCCTAGCTGGGTTCCCAGATCCTGTTCCTCACCTTCTGGACCCTGGACCTAACTTCCCTAGCCCTACACATCATACAAGGAGCCCTGGTGGCGCCATGTTTAAGCGCTTGATGGCTAACTGAAAGGTCAGTGGTTCAAACCCACCCGTAGCTCTGCAGGAGAGAAAGCCCTGGCAATCTGCTCCCATAAGGATTACAGCCTAGGAAACCCTATGGGGCAGTTCTACTCTGCCCTACAGGGTTGCTATGAGTCAGAATCGACTAGATGAGACACAATAACAACACATAGCCCACTCCTGCTCCTCCTGGCCTTGGCAGGTATTACTGGCCTTGACCATCTCCCTTGACCAATTATCCCGGACTTCCTCCTGCCTGGCCACTCCCAAGCTTCCCAGATGCTGAGCCACCAAGAACAAAAACAAAAATACATACAGAAAACTGAGAAAATCGTTGCAACATATATGCTATTTAACATCTTTAATTTATAAAATTACACTGACCCATTCATAGAAAAA